TGTAGCTTAAAGTCAGGATTGAAGTGTCTTATTGTTTTATTAGTGACACATTAATTATCTGACAATTATATGTTGATAATTAACTGTTAGTCACTGAAATATAGATGCAGGATCCATATCAGATATACAACAGGTGAACATTTACCAGTTTCTGTGCCATTTTCTGTACCTATTTTGGAAAAAAAATCTATCCCCTGCACTGGGACTTCCCTCTCCCAAACATATGTAGGTAACCTTCCCTTCAGGTGTGTTCCAAACAGTCTCTTCTCATGGCAGTGCAGTTTTCCTGTTTGCTCAGACCTCTTGTGACAAATGCAGGCAGTCAAACTTTAAGTATTTATTGTATATCTCAGGAGTACCGTAGGCAAGTGACCTCTGGTGAAGCCATAGGTGATTTCATGTGGTTATGTACGTTTTCCAGCTTTTCCTTAACTGGGTGATGAAAGGTGGAACTCTGAAAGTACCCATGATGGTTTAGTAACAGATTTTAATTGTTGGAATAAGCCATTCAATCATGTGGAAAAACCAGGAAGGTCTTTGCTTGGTGAATGCTTACAGATCCCCTCCTTAGTTCTGTGCCTTCCAGTGAAGTGACACTGTTCTTACTGAGTAAAGTGCAGCTGTCCCAGATTTAGCAGTTACCTGTCCTGTCCATGACCACGACTATGAGCACTGAGGTCTTATGTTTTGGATGACTGATTTTTGATGCTAGAATTCTAAGATGTGAAGGAAGCACAAATGTATTATTAGGTATTGTGTGCACTGCTGGCATAGATTTGATTTCTTCCCTGACTTTTTTTCCCCTCAAGTTTTGTGGTTCCTAGAGCTATTGCTATGAAACTGACTGGGCTTAGAGTGATACTGGGGTTTTAATTTCCAGACAGGCATAAAGATCTAATGTACACATAAAAATGAGAGCAGGTTTATGGTTCAAGTACAAAAAATTGAAAACCACTGAAATTTGTTGTTGATGTCGATCAGATTGGATACAAATTTAAACTGTGCTAGCTAAATGAGGCAGGAGAAGGAAAATATAAACTAAATATGAAACGCTTCCATCTGGAAATAGGAGAGAGATTTGGAAGACTGCTTTTTGCACATGTCTAGATGTGATTAGGAAGAGAATGAGACTTCTTGCCCATGTTGCTGAGCCTTATTAAATCTTGGTAGACAAGGGGGTACGAAATGACAAAAGCAGTAACTCTGTCTTGCTGAGCGTGGAATGGAAGTGCTGGCCCTTTGAATATGATACTGGCTAAAAATAGCCCTGCTCAGGATAGCATATTTAATGAATGAGGCAGTGTTCTTCCAAAAGAATACTGTAGGGTCCTTCAAGACTTTATGGAAGTAGAGCTTTGAAAATCCTAAGTGTACAGAGTAAGCAAGGTTCATAGGAACAGATATTATTTTTCATTAATCAGGTGGTATAACTGACGAACATGGGGTAAAAAATAAAGTGCATGAGGGTGGAAGCTAATTTTTAAATTTTGAATGTAAGTAGGAAAAAACACCCCAAATTAAGGACAGGTTGAAAACAAATACTTTGATCTTACACTCAGTTTTGCATTCTATGCTTCGTCTGTGTCAGGACCCTGATTGCATCTCTGTCTAGGAGTTTAGTTAGCAGAGTTCAGCATCATCTCCTTCATAGACAGGAGCTGCTGGGAGAAAAGCTAGAAGGGCCTGACACTACTTTCCTTTTTGGAACTGCTTTAATCTGATGCTTTACTGTCTGTGCTATAGGGTAAGCAGGTGTGTCTGTGCCTGCCTTGTACTTTCTTGATCCTGACCTAGACCTGGACCTGCTGGCTGGGCTTTTTGGCCTAATCTTGGACAGATTTGTAATCCCTGGATTACATCTGGCCCTGATCACTGTCTCCAGATCCAGCCCTGACTTGGACATTGCCACTGCACAGTCCTGACTTACTGCTCTCACCTGCCTTGTTTTCATGCTCATTTCGCAGCTTACCTTCCCTTGCAGAAGCAGCTGGCCTTTTCTGTTCTCTCACAATTTGAACCTAAAACGCAAATTTATTGAACAGTTGTAACTTAAATGGAAAAACTACACATTATCTCATTTTTCCAGCCTTTTAGCAAGATTTTTGTGAATAGTAAGCCGTGGAAAAGGTTGCTCACATAAGTATAGTCTTCATGCTTGGAGGTTTTTAGAGATTGTCTGGATAAACTGCCGTGTTATTTATGTGGAACTGGGTAAAACCAATTTGTTTTTTAATCTTGTTTTAGTAAGTAGGGTCTTTGCTTTTTTAACACTTTGTGCAAAAGTTAAAGTTAAAAATACTCCAGTATTGTCAAAAATATATTAAATCAATACATTTTGTCAGAATGCTTCTTATTTATTAAGATATTGCAAGCTCAAGAACCTCTTGATGAATTTTTCAATGAGCTTGAATGGTTGATTGTGTTCTCTTAAGCTCTTGAGATGTCGTCCACATCTTGTCACTCATCAGTAACTTCTCAAAAGTATGCTGTATCTTTATCATTGCCACTTGCCCTTCAAATGCAGTGAGAATAGAAACAGATGAGTTGGTTGTTTCTCTTAACTAAAGCAACTCCTAAAAAATCTATTTTGCAGCAACTATGTCTTAAAAATATTTTCATTACCTTGGATGAAAGCTTATAAATGAACAAAAATTCCAGATGTTTATTTATTAGTGTGGGTTTGTTCCCATTCTTAGTGCAGTATATCTGCAGAACAGGAGAAGGAAAATACAGTCTCAAAACCTTTAAGACTTGTTTATACTTTCTGGTGCTTTTTATCATTGGGAGAAAACAGAATAGGTTTGTACATTTTTAGAATAATTTATATCTAATTCATCTTGCCTCTAGGTAAAGAGATGGACTGGTGTTTTCAAATGGCTTGTAGCTTTCTCTTGTTATGATTTCAAAGCCTTGTAGGGTGATTTACATTGGAGAGGACTCCAGAAGGCCCATAGTTCCATCCTGTTTTCAGAGCAATTTCAGCTGTGAGGTTCAAACCAGATTGCTTGGGGTCTTGAAACCTGCAAGGGTCTGTCTGCAGACAGCAGAACCTTGGCATCCTGGGGAACCTCCCCATCCCACTACATGTGAGAAAGAGCAAGAATAAATGCAGCACTGCAGTGCATGTCACTGGTCCTGCAGAACAGGGCAAAAAGATGTACTCCCCTTGGGAAGGTAGTGAGGGCAAGAAGAAACCAGCAAGGAACAGTGCTCTCCGCCCTTCTCCTCAACTCACTGAGTTCCTTCTACACTGAGTTCACTCCCTCTGTCTTTGACTTTGTTTAAAATGATGTAAGTGTAGAACAAGGTGGAGTAAACAGTGTTAAAGAGATGTTTCAGCTCTTCGTGGCATGAGCATGATCTCCTGATGTCTCAGCTTTTCTACTCTGCACACATCACGCAGAGAAGGAGGGGAGTGAAAAATAAGTTGTGGTGGGGAAAAGATCTGTTGTTGTGGACAGGGACAGGGGCAAAAGAAGGCAGGTTCTCTCCCTACCTGTCCCTGTCAAATCTTTGTTCACTGAGGAACAACACCCTGCCCTGCTTTCAAAGTGCTGCACTTGACCTTTCTGCTCTTGCCATGACCTCAGTCTTTACCCCTTAAACCTGAGGAGTAGCCTTAATTTACAGCTTTCTTTTCCAATCTCATCTTACACGTTCTAGGGCACAGATATGCCTTTTCTTTAGCTGCTCATCATTAGTTATTCTTTGCTCTGTTCCTGTCATTGCTTAAAATTACACTAAATGCATAACAGTAATTTATTACACTGGTGCAGTGTAACAGTAATTTACCACAGTGGTGCATGATGAAAGACAAAATGAAGAAGACTGACGGTCATAAGTCAAGATTTTTCTGCTGTGTGATGTCTTTGTAAAATTCGTACCTTTCTGCCCTCTTTACAGCTTCAGACTCCCCTTACATGTTGAGGACATCTTCATGGTAGGATCCACGAGGACAGTGACTACTTATAATGAACTCTGAAGGGTTCTGTCAACATGGATGGCTTTCTCCTCTTAGATTTTAGAGCTGTTTCAGGAACAGTTTTTTTGTTTTTGCTGTCACTGGTGCCTCCTTAGTTATGTACCTGAAAAACTACCTATTTTTTGTGCTTCTTCGTGCACTCTGGACTCTGTGACAGATGTGTATATGATGATAGCACTTCTTTCCTGGGGTAACTGGCCATTCTGCCATAATCACAGGGTGTATTTTGCTGCTTTAGGTATTTGAGTAAAGTTAAATACTTGGGGATTTTCAGTCAAAAACAATTCTTTCAATATTATATTATTCCTTGGTATTTAGTGGTTTTGATCACTGGAAAACTACATAAAATACACAAGTCTTGATACTTTAATTGCTGTATGTTCCTTCTATTTTTCGTTTACTAGGTTTTAAATGTCTTTTATTGAGGATTCAGGCTATCTAGGCTGACTTTTGGTCCATTTCAGTGCAGTCTTTTGTGGTATAAGAGTTGGGTAGCAGAAACCTTTCTAAATTTTCCTGTCTTAATCTGTTTACATGCAGAGACTTGGGCCATGGGACAGGCAGGTGGGCGATGTAATGTTCCATTACAGCTCTAAATTAGAGTCCTGTTGTCTCTAAGGGAGAGAAATATTTATTTCCTGGTGTAATTTTAGGCATTTTGTTTGAAGCATGTGTGGTGAAAAATGCTTTTTTTCATTAGTGCAACTGAAATCAGCAAGTGTAGGTGCTTTCTTTAGATTACTTTTAATGTAATTTATTAAACAATAGTCATATTTATTTGCAGACAAAATATGCAAAATAGCATGCTGTTTATGCCTTCATTAGTCTGTAAATCCTAAATAAAAGCATTTGTTTGGTATGCTGTTTTATTAAAATTCAGATGTAAAGAATATAGCTGTACTGTAAAGTGGCTTAAAGAGTAAGTGTTTAAATGGCGCAACAATTAATATTATTCTAATGTATTCTAAATGTGTCTTTGGGGATATTTGAGTATTTGCAATTTTATCTCTGTTTTCAGGGAAATTCAAATGGCATTGCTACTGTGGATGTTTCAGCAGGTTTTGTGGGACTAGAAAGCTATGTGGAGATACCAGCTATCTTCCTTACGGCGTTTGCAACATATGCGGGACCTTTTCTTTGGGCCATTCATCTGCTGTGCTACTTAAGTTCTGAAGTTAGCAGGTAATCGTGCTTTGAACTAAAGTAGAGCTCCTCTGTGTACTGCAGATATAAATACCATCCATAAAGTGTGTATGTTTTGTCAAAGAAATACTTTTTGGTCACGTAATTTATTTTTTTTTTTCCCTTTGGAAGTTAGTTTTCTATTAAGAAAATGCATGTTCTGTCTTCGGCATGAATTTGTATCACCCAGCTCTTCCAGTTTCATTTTATTTGCAGAAGTTTTGCGCTGGGAATGTGCATGTATGTTTCACTAATTTTTTTTTCTCTGAATGCGTTCTCAGTTTGCTGTGCTAAATTACTTAAAATTTTATTACGTTTTGTTGTGACAGCATGTTCTGCCTAAAAACGTTCTTCTCGGAACCTATTGAGTCAGAGACCCGAGAAAGACTTTTTAAAGGAATAGAATAGAATTCACACTTAACTAAAGTGGTGTTCTTTGAATGTCTGTCCTTCTTTGACATAGTGACATGCAACGTTTTATGAATAAACCATACTTATATTATTGTATGTTACTGGTTATTGCAGTCATTTGTAGATAAAATATTTGTGCTTTGGGTATCTTGTGTGGCGGATAAATTAAAACGAGTTAGTGCTTCAGAGTTTAAAAAAAAACAGTTGAAAAATGCCTGGTAATTTAAGAGTGTACATGTAAAATTCAATTGGACTCTCTAAAATTGCTTTTAACTCATCATTCAGGGTTCTCAAAGGGAGTGATGCAGAATATTGAAATAGACAGAGGAGTTGTGAGTTCTTTATTGTATCCTATCAATGCCAAAATTCAAAAACCTGATATATTTTCACAGAAATAACATTTGACAGTGACTATATTCTTACTATCTCGTAGTCTTTTCTCTGTTATCTGTGGAATTTAAATGCATTTTTTTTTATTGATGAAGAAAATGTCGCAGTAGGATTGGCAGGTGGGATTTTTAGGCAGTATTGAGTTTATCACAGGTTTTTACCTTATGCATTGTCATCCTCTGTAAATCTCTGACTCCCTTTTATCTACAGTGTCATCCAGTCTCATCGTGTCAGTGCTTTTTGTTTTTTTGACTTTTGTCTTCTGCTTGTTTGTTTTGGGCTATGCCTACACTGTGAACTTGTGTTGGCTGGCGTGTGTTCATTAAAGGTGTAAGGAGATGGGATCCCCAGCTGATCCAGCTGCACTGTCTAGGGGAGGTTTTTGAGCCAGCAGGGGCCTGTTCTAACAGACTAAATCCCTGCACAGTCACTGTGTTCCATCGTTCTGTATTAACAGGCACCTTTAACAGATATTCACAGTGACTAACCTTTATTGGCTTATTTGTCTGTCTGCTATATTGCTCTCTAAAGATGTCTAGAAACTCTGCTTGGTTGCTGTGGAATTATGCAGCCCAGTGCTGGACCATTGTATTGCTCTAGTAATGCATGCCTTAGTGTAGATTGAGTTTCACTCTAGAACATTACCTCTCAGCCTGAGGCCAGCTAGCTTGAAGTCATTTTTGGTCTTATGTAGATTGGTATAGGCTAAGTACTGGTGTTCTGGCTTCTGAAAGCCAGCCTTTTCTCTGTTCATTCTGATATTATTTTTGCTTCAGGAGGAGTAGATGTGGAATACACTAATTATTGATGTCTTGATCCTAAGAGACAAGAGATCCTTTTCTTGAATTTTCCTTACTGCCTGGTGACTTGACACCAGGTTAAGTTTTAACTCTAACGCTCCTCAGTTTAGCTTTAGTTACTCCTTTGCTCCATCAATACATTTTTCTAGTATCCAAGCTCTTCAAGTTTTCTCTGTTCTTTCAACTCTCTTTAAGAAGGGTGCTCCTGTACATATCAAAAGTGCTGCTACTTGTCTTCTAGGAAATATGTGAACCATGGAGCCGGGTATTGCTTGGATTCTATTAATGTCCTGTTTTACCCAATTCTTTTATACCTCTGTTTAAAACAGTGCTGTATGGTTTCACTGTTCACAACCTTGTTCATGTCGTGTTGGGTTTTTTTTAGCAGGCCCACTTTCCATTCTTCACTATTACACTGTAGGTGCTTTGAAACTGACACTTTTTGCTTGTGCTTGGAGGACTCTGAGCACAGTAAACTGCTCATGCTATTGTTTGGGGAGGGAAGGGGAAAGAGTAAGAGTTCCCATAATTTAAAGAGCTGCAGTTTTAACGTTGTTTAAAACCTAGACTGCAGACTGTGATGAACACTAACATACAATGAAGAGAAAATGATACCATATAGCATGTTTTTTGAAAGCTCTTCTAACAAAATAATGAAAAACTTTCTGTAACAAAATCTTTGTCTGTACTTGTTTAATGTTGTTTCAAATAATATGCGTCTGTAGTAGTGTTGGTTGTTGTTCTGATGTTTTCTTGGTTGAATTTTTGCAGATTAAAAGCTCAGCTATTAGTGTTGCCAGGTACAGTGCTGGTTTAACCTGTGCTCAAGTGGGTAGCTACGGCCTATAATACCCACATCACTTATGTAAGTAGATTCCATTGAGCAGCTTGTGTCTGTAGCCATTTTTAAGATTCATTTGGGTCAATTGGTAAGGTTGTTTCCTCTATGAAACAGTGCACAAAAATGGACTGGAATCTCTAGCTGCTGGGACTTACTTAAATTGGTATGTTAATCTGTTCAGAACTTGGTCTGTATGCCTTTTATTTTACTCTTGTACTTTGCCATTGCTGTCCAAGTGATTGTCTCATTACCTTGTTGATATTCATTGGAACCAAAGCTGGAAATGGAGAAGGCAGAGGGCCATTTGCTTCATGTGTTTTCTTAAATGTATGGGACACTGAACTTCTTAAAAAAACTGCTAAATGCTATAGGATCTTCTTTATAAAAGCTTCTTGATAACTGTCTTCTAAGCAATGTGCCTTGGTCAGTGAAATTCAAACCCTTTTTAATGTGGTCCTGAGAGCAAGATGAAGATCCTTTCCCCGCTTCCTCCAGATGGGAAGGTCTAAAAGAATCAGTGGCTCTCCTTTGTGGAGTATGCTGAGTGGGTCCCATTATATTGCCACAGGATGTTGTCAAGATTCCTGACCCGTCCTGATACAGTCTAAGATGAACGGATGTCCCCAGAACCACTCAGCAGTGCCGTTCCTAGCAAAGAACCTAGCATCCTGCAGCCTCTTTTAGAGCTGTTGCTCTAAAAGAAGAGGTTGACCTAGACAAAGAAAACTGACTTCAGGGCTATTTTTGTTTATTCCAGCTGCTTAGCAGAGCCCATGTAATTTACAGCTGTGTCTGTTGTGTTGGCTTACCAGAGCTTCTTGATGAAGTTCTTTGAAGCTTAGTTCCATTGGGCGTCACTGCCTAAGGGCAAGTACACATGTATACCTTTCCCTCTGTCTTCATTTTGCATTTATGAAACCAGAGAATACTTGAGTCTGGAGTCCAGCCCTCCTGTCCAAAGGAAGGTCAGCTAGAGCCAGTAGGGATACTCCAGGGCCTCCTTCAGCAACCTGTTCCAGTGTATGGCAACACTTGCAGTTAACCAGTTGTTTACTGGTGTTTAAGTGGAATTTGTTGTATATCAATTTATGTCCATTGACTTTCATCCTTTCACTGAGCACCAGTGAGAAGAGTCTCAGTACATCTTCTTCACCTCTGCCCATGAGACATTTATGAATGGTGGTGAGAACCCTACTGAGCTTACTCTACTCGAGGCTAAACAATCCCGGCTTTCTCAACCTCCCACTATATGTCAGATGCTCCAGTCCTTTAATCATCTTTGTGAGCTTTCAATGGACTCACTTCAGTACACCCATGTCTGTCTTGTACTGGGGAGCCCACAACTGGATCCAGAACTCCAGATGAGATCTCACCACTGCTTAGCAGAGAGGAAAGATCACCTTTTTCAACCTGCTGACTCTACTTTTCCAACTGCAGCCCTGGGTTGTTTCATGGGAACATTGCTTGCTCATGCTCAGCTTTTTGTCCAGCAAGAGTAACATATGCCCTCTGCCAAGCTGCTTTCCACATGGTCAGCCCCAAGCCTGTTCTGGTACATGGGTTTACTTTTCCCCAGTTGCAGAATTTGGCATCTCCCTTTGTTGAACTACTTGAGTTTCTTGTCAATCTATTTCTGTAGCCTGTTGAGATGCCCCTGAGTGGCAGCAGACCCGTCTGCAGACCCACCTCTTGAACAGAGCACTCCTCCCTGTTCTTTGTTGTGTGCAGACTGGCTGAGGGGACGCTCTGTCCTATCACCCAGGTCATTAATGAAGACATGAAATGGTATTGGCCCCAGTGTGACATCCTGTTGATCATTAGTGACTGGCCTCCAGGTGGGCTTTGTGCAGTATCTCAGTAATTTTCATTCCACTTGACTATTCGCTTTTCCTAGCCTGGACTGCATCAGTTTGCCTGTGGGCATGCAGTCAGAGACATTAAGAGCCTACTTGTGAGGTGGAAGTGCATTAGATACTTGTAGCTCATGTATCTTTGGCCAGTATGGTAAGATGGAATAGAAGATAAAGAGGTTTTCAGATAATACATTTGCTGTGGAAATGTAGTTGGAAGTCCTTAAATAATTTGCTTCCATCTGATCAAACATGTGAAACTGTAAGATATTTTCCTCATATGGAAAGGTAAATATGTTTCCAAAATAATTAAGTGGCATGTGATAGACACTAACATGGATATAACTGCCACTTTTAATCCTTCAGGCTCTCCTGAGAAACTTGGCAGCTTAAATGTGATGGGATTTTCACAGACAGAAATAGAAAGAAGAATTCTTTAGGTTCAGTCTCCATGGAAACTGTGCAATAACTCTTGAAACTGTTTTTGAGACAGGGAGTACTGATTAAACTGATGCCTGAACTTAACCAAGTGTTCTGTGTGTGACTTGCATAAATTCCAGGGAGCACCTCGTTCATGTAAAGGATAGTTTTTACAGTGACTACTCCATTGGTCTGATCTGAGGTAGAACTTTGTATTTTTGGATCCTTGACTGGAAAGGGGCCATGTTGTCGGATCATCTAACCTATATTATATGGCCTCACTGTGCA